AATAAACACCTTACATTTTAAAATGGCACATGCTTCTATCCGCAAAAATATGGCAAAACAGACAGCAGGTGCCACATGGCATGTAAACTCTTTGGTTAGTCACGGCAGCTCCTCAAAGCAGATACTCAATGAGAGCGGCCTTACGGCGGATCAGCTCCAGCACTAGCACGGTCTGCAGGTGACTGATGGTCATGTTGACCATCTCGGCGGGCAGGCAGACAACTTTCCAACGACGAATTACAGTGCTCATGAGTTTTGCCAAATCTTGCACTATAAGCACATGAAGTTGGAACAAAATCGGCACGTGCGCTAATGAATGAGACTTAATTTCCGTAGTATCTCTTTTTTTTCTGGACACCCTGTAGGTATACCTAGTTACTTAAAGGGACCCTCCCACCTTCAAAAAAGTTAATGAATTGGCATGAAAGTGATGTCGCTCGGTTCAGAAAGAGCAAAAACGAATATCTACCAAATTTCATCGAAAAATATTCACCGGTTTTCAAGATATTAGACTTTTACTTTTGTTTACTTTTTGGGATCTCCGCTGTTCCTAGCGACTTTATTTGAAAGTGCGGCATTTGTTGCGCGCAAAGCAGCATATACCACCGCGTGCTACCAAATGTTTTAGTAAAAGATTTAAAATCGTTAGATCTCCGCTGACGTCACAAATTCTAAGGGGGCATACCAATGCATTAGCCCCTTAGAATCCGAAAACTGCAAGTTTGAAATTCGATATCTCCGAATTAAAGCATTTTTCGATGTTGTGAGTGCCCAAACCGGTATTTTCAGGCCATGGCCACCAATTTGGCTATCTCAACTCAAATCTAATGTTAAGGTGGGAGGGTCCCTTTAACTATAAGCAGGCAGTTTCCGCTAAACCACTTGGCGAGGGCGACTGCGGCGTCCACCCGGTCCTGGTTTGTATAACTATTCCATTTTTTTAACCATTTGCTCTAATGGTACGTACCTGAAAAAGAAATTAATTGGTTTAATTTACATTGCATGTTTGCTTGAAAATAACTTATTGTTGCATTAATACTGTAAAAGCACTTCTAATTGATCCGTATAAAATGATCATTCGATTTTCAACGGGGACAGAGAATGAGCGTGCTCGGTGATAAGTAGATAAATAATTGTGTTTTGTATTTCATTTTCCTGGTTCAGAAGTGCTGGTATTTCACAAAGATATAAAGGCACGGAATGCGGCTTTTCTGAGCGAGGGTATAAGTCGCCAGGCTGAACAGCTATTCAGCTTCATGTTTGATGGCGTGAAACTCAGTCAAAATCATGACGTTTACATACGATCAAGCGCACCATTCAATACACTTACCTACCGTAAAACTCCATGCCAGTCCACTTGATAAGAGCATGAGTGAGCACTATCCCTTCTTCGCGCTGTCACACGCGCCCAAACATCAACCACCAAATGCCCCAACACCGGTGTGTCGTTTCGTCGCACAGCGCACAGACTGTCACAAACGCTGCACATGATTGGCGCAGAACTGCGCATGCGCGAACAGCCGAACAAGTATGGCTAAGCTCCGGCTTTACTCCAGTTAGCCGAAGGACACAGCCAGCTTGATCAGCCCGCGCTCCGCCCAAGTTAAGCCTGTTTTGGATGCGCGGGCAGATGTCGGGCTGAGCTACTGCTATCCGCACGTGGGCATAGCTGCGGCATGCCCCAGCTCAGCCCTAGTAAAAAATGCATTGGTTTTGATCAAATTGGGCAAACCCAAGCTAAGCCCAAGCTGCCCGACGTTTGCCACAGTTCAGCCCAAGCGAATTGCTGGCTGGGATGACCTTTGACCTATGACCTATTTCACGAGATCATGTTTGGTCGGAATCGCGATTCGGCGTATGTCGGCTCACATTATCCGTGCGTTTGCAGTCTTTTTGTGGTTTTAAATGTTCAAACAGGTGAAGTGATGTTGGTCCCATGCATTATGGTGGGTGTCAAGGTCACGTGAAAATCAGGTCAGGTCATTGACCTCTCGTGACCTTGGCTCACTTTTTCGAGTTTTACATGTTTCTATGCTGGGTACTTTTTGGAGCGGATTTCGAATTTAGCAGCCATTTGAACATTTACGAAGTAGTTTTGTGCCTTCGTAACATGTAACAAAGCTATCAGAGGCGGTTAACACGTACTACAATTTACAAATACCCGTCACGACGCCTACTGGTTGACCTGACCTGACCCGACCTAGCCCAAATGCATAGATACATGACCTAAGATCAAAACTAACATTAAATTCGTGGTCTGCACACAAAAAAAAAACATACGAACTCTACTCAACGAATTCTGACAAGTCCCGATTTTCCCGACTTTTGGGTCATTGACCTGCAGACCTGGAAGGTCAACCAATGACCTAGGACCATTAACCCTCGCCCGCACATGCCATTTTCCCATCCTAGAACGCACATGGGGGGGTGGTTGCCACCCCCCCCCCCGCGCCATTTCGTTCCTGTTGGAGATAGAGCTTAGCAGTAAAGACCAAAAAGATTCTTTGGGAAGAGACGAATCCAATGATACCCAGTTTTACCTTCTCAGGTCAGTCATTGACCTTCCAGGTCAGGTCAAACTAAAAAATGTTGCTGTTTTGGGTCACCGTTGGATATCAAGTGTGCTGCTTATCAAATACCGATGACGATGCTGTTTTCTGGTGCCAAGCCAGCTAGAACCTCTTAATCACACTACCCGACCAGAATTTTGCTGCTGAGGTCATTTCAGGTCAAGTTAGGTCAAGGTCAATTACATGTGTTTGTATGTCTGTGTGTGTATGTGTGTATACTGATGTGTGCATCGATTGTTTTTGGGTCCATATTACATGAAATCATGATCTGAGAAGCTTTTACCAAAAATGCAGTCAAAAAACTTCAAAAAAAAGTAAATTCAGCTTGCCTAAAACGCAATTATCTTAGGTGACCTAGGTTGACCTTGACCCTGACCTTGACCCCCGTACATCGTCAAACAACATGTTTCATGATAGGTAGGAGGTAAGACTGGCAAAAAAGGCCGAAATCAGGGTGTCAAAAGCTCATAAGGCCCATGGCAAACGCAAGATGTTGAGAATTGGCCATTTGGGTCATGACATGACCTGAAAAACAAGGTCATATCTCCGAAACCAAAAATCACAGAAACTTGAAATTTTCAGTGGACCTCAAGAAAGGATAGAGGAGCAGCTATACGAAAAATCAGCCTTCTAGCTCTAAAAATGTAGAGTGCAGAGCAGAAAGACTACCTGGGGGGGGTGGCAACCACCCCCCCCCCCATGTGCGGGCGAGGGTTAATATGGATATCATCGTCTTCCTCTCGTCGCGGGAAATACGCTCATTTGTTCCGCGAAGCTCTAGCTCGATCAGGGGCCGAACGGCAAGAGGGGTCTAACGGACCTCCACCTTTATAGGTTCGCGGCTGGCGAAACACCAATACGGGAGAGGGTTAAGTTGCAAGGAATCGATGTGCAATTCGGTATGTGTATAGAAGACGATATGTAGGTACTTATCTATTCCGCTTTATGAAAATTCCAAAAACTTTTGGGATTTTTTTGTGTTATTATATCCCAAAAATCACTTTCTTAGGGATCACAATCCAAAAATTTTGAAAATCCTAGGTAGCTGTTTTATATCCCTGTTTATTCTACATCTTTTATGTATCTACATTTTTCTGTATCTACAAAGCTGTAGGCCTGACTTTAGAATACTTTTATGTTCATATAAATGAAAGATATAGATGCCATGAAGTAGCCTCTCTTATGCCTTGGTGAGTGAAAGCTGATTCTTGCCACAATCATCTTTTTTTTCGAGAGAGCATGAATCTGATTTTTATGGAATGGAAATGAGCCTGGTTAACTTGCCAATCAATGTGCGTACACATAACGATAAGTCAGCAAATTGGCAGTTTCAATTACCATCTAACAAACCCAAACTTAAGATGACTATAGTTCGTTTTTTTTTTAAGTTTGCCCCTCACTGTAAACGTCTTTTTGAACATAGCACGAGAATTGCTAGCTGAATTACTGAGAAAACTAGTTGGCGCACACTGATTTAACCAGATTTCACAGACGATCAATTTCATCAAATTTATTTACTATTTCACAGACTCGTAAATCGTATCTGCCAATACCTACAGCCCCACAGGGATAGACGACTTCTCAGGAATTATGTCTGAACTAATAAATAAATTGCACGGCGCTTAACATTACGTTAAATCGTCGATGTTCAAATCTTATTTTTGAAAATATTATTCATATCTACAATACAATGTGCGCTAACCAGTTTTCTCAGTAATTCAGCTAGCAATTCTCGTGCTGTGTTCAAAAAGACGTTTACAGTGAGGGGCAAACTTAAGAAAAACGGACTATAGTAGTCTTTTATCTCTTACATAACGGTTGGGGCCTGTTATGTAATGGCGGAATTAATTATTACCCAGTGGATGCTCGGGGTTGCAGTCAAGTGCGTTGCTTGAAATGATTGGATGTCAGCCATTCGGGACCGGACCTCCCATGGACGCAGCCCTCCCCGGCGTCATTCACGGCTGGATCTGGATGTCAGCCACTCGGGAATGGAACTGACATCTGCGTATGCGGTTTCATCAGCCGTTCGACCATGGTATGAGAACGCGTCAAGTCCTTCTTAAACACATAGTTACTGAGGTGTCAGGTGCATGTAATGAAACTCGAAAAACACACTTATGATAATGTTGTTTCAGTATAATTCACAATTGATCTACATTCTGTCGTAGAGCCATCAGTCATGGAGTGCCCCGCTCCCCGGTGAAAGAGTTGTCTGTCCGGACAGACGACGACACGGATCTCAGAGACAGTCCCGTCTATATCCACATCAGTAGAGTCCATTGGCAGCCGGACCCCCACACCCTCCCCCCTCCGGACCCCCCACACACCATCCGGACACCCTCCCCTCCCCCTCCGGACACCCCCCCCCCTCCGCGCCGCAGGGCCCAGGGTGGCCGCTCAGAGAGACGACAGGCTGCCGCGCTGACCGGCCGAGACGGTACAGGTAGGCGTCTGCCCGGTCTGCGCCGCGCGACGGTACAGGTACAGGTCTCGCTGACCGGCCGAGACGGTACAGGTAGGCGTCTGCCCGGTCTGCGCCGCGCGACGGTACAGGTACAGGTCTCGCTGACCGGCCGAGACGGTACAGGTAGGCGTCTGCCCGGTCTGCGCCGCGCGACGGTACAGGTACAGGTCTCGCTGACCGGCCGAGACAGTACAGGTATAGGCGTCTGCCCGGTCTGCGCCGCGCGACGGTACAGGTACAGGTCTCGCTGACCGGCCGAGACGGTACAGGTAGGCGTCTGCCCGGTCTGCGCCGCGCGACGGTACAGGTACAGGTCTCGCTGACCGGCCGAGACGGTACAGGTAGGCGTCTGCCCGGTCTGCGCCGCGCGCTCACAGGCGCAGGCCAGTTTGGCCCCTGAGCGGCGGGTCCCTGTGCCAGACCCGGGGACACTGTCACTGTGACAGCACCTGCTGATCGGCCGCCGTCACTCTGACTGTGCCCTGGTCACTCACTGTCACTCACTGTCACTCACTGTCACTCACTGTCACTCGCTGTCACTCGCTGTCACTCTGTCACAGACACTATTCCTCTGTCCCTCTTTCCCTGTCATTCTGTCACTCTGTCTGTCCCTCTGTAACATAACATAACAACATAACATATATTACAATGTAACAACAGGCTACAGGAGCCCAACAAGGTTACAAGGATGAAATACACAGTGATGTACACATTCATGCACACTGAACAAGATTTACATGACAATGAATGCAATGAGTGTATCCTAACAACGAAACCTATCAGAGTTGTCTACGTCTTCAATGGTGTCAAAGACCGCACCACGCTCCGTAAAATACAAATCCACGTTATGTTTGAATTTGTTAAGGGAGGAACTATCAATAACCCAAGGAGGTAAGCTATTCCACATATCAATGACGCGGTTAGTAAAAAAGGATTGCCTTAAACGCGTTTTTGAAAATTTCTTTACCAATTTACATCCATGTCCTCTTGTAGAGTTCGAACTTATCGTGAATAAGCTCTTAAAATCTAGCTTATCAATACCTCTATAAATTTTGAACAATTCAATCAAATCACCTCTCACTCTCCGGTAATGGAGTGAAAACATATTTAACGAGACAAGCCTTTCTCTGTAAGTCATCCCGCGAAAACCATGCACCATCCTAGTGGCCTTCCTCTGCACACGCTCTAGAGACTTGGCGTCTTTTTTAAAGGGCGAGTACCATGCCTGTGCACAATACTCTAAATGTGGACGAACAAGAAAACAATAAAGTTTTTTCATAACGTCTTTACTTTTATAATTAACGTTTCTATATATTACTCCCAACATTTTCAGAGACTTTTTACGCGCTTCTTGACATTGATGACTGTCCTGATGACTGTCTGTCCCTCTGTCACTCTGTCCCTCTGTAACTCTGTCACTCTGTCTGTCCCTCTGTTCCTCTTTCCCTCTGTCTCTCTGTCACTCTGTCTTGTCCCTCTGTCACTCTGTCCCTCTGTCCCTCTGTCACTCTGTCTGCCCCTCTGTCACTCTGTCTGCCCCTCTGTCACTCTGTCACTTTGTCTGTCACTATGTCACTGTCACTCTGTCACTCTGTCTGTCCCTCTCTCTCTGTCTGTCACTCTGTCACTCTGTCACTCTGTCTGTCCCTCTGTTACTCTGTCCCTCTGTCACTCTGTCTGTTCCTCTGTCCCTCTGTCACTCTGTCACTCTGTCCCTCTGTCACTCTGTCCCTCTGTGTCTCTGTCTGTCACTCTGTCACTGTGTCTGTCACTCTGTCTGTCACTCTGTCCTTCTGTCTGTCACTCTGTCCTTCTGTCTGTCACTGTTACTCTGTCACTCTGTCTGTCACTCTGTCTGTCCCTCTGTCACTCTGTGCCTCTGTCTCTCTGTCCGTCACTCTGTCTGCCGCTCTGCCGCTCTGTCTGTCACTCTGTCTGCCGCTCTGCCGCTCTGTCCGAGGCCAGCACCCAGGTAGAGTCGAAGTAGACTGGCGCACACAGCCCGGTGCGCCGCAGCAGGTACTCGACACAGCGCCCGTTGGCGTTGTAGGAGGCCAGCCGGTAGCCGGCCGCCCTCAGCTGGCGCAGCAGCAGCACGTACTCGCCGAGCCGCTCCTCCCGGAACGTGGACTCGTCCCCCTCGGCCTGGCCGCGGTCGAGCACCACCGTCAGCGACACCTGGCGCGGCGAGACGGCCGCGGCGACCACCTCGGCCAGCACGGCCTGCTCGCGGCCCTCCACCGAGACGTCCAGCACGTCCAGACGCGCCAGACCCCGCCGGCGCATCAGCCGGCGCAGCGAGAACCGCTCCCAGCGCAGCTGCTCCTCGGCCGCCGGCGACACCAGCGCCACCTGCCCATCGGCGCAACCGAAGCTTGTCAGGGCGTCCGCCAGTCGGCGCTGCTCGCCGCTGACGGTGCCGCTCTGTAGGGAGAGCACGGAGCAGCGGTCGGGCCGCAGGAAGGCGCCGCCGACGCAGAGCTCGCGCCGGCCCGACACGTGCCGGTCAAACTGGACCGTCTGCGCGCTCAGGTCGGCCCGGTCGCTGAAGGCGCACATGCAGCTGCCGCCAAAGGAGAGCAGCCGGGGACAGACGGCCTCCGGCGCGCCGGTCAGCGTCCTCAGCTGGTGCACGGTCCGGTTAAGGCCGGCCGTCCACGTGGTGACGGGCAGAGCGGCCTCCCCCGCCGCCACACTGTGGAAGTAGCCACACACCAGTCTGAGTGCAGAGCCCGCCCTTACGGAACAGGCTGTTCGCTGACATCGGTTCAAAACGGTACTGGCAACTCACGGATGATTTGTTTTGAATGAAAATACGATATTGACACCAGACCGGCCATGGGGCCAGTGTAACTGTCAACAGTCCATAGGCCGTTCCATGTCCATGATCCCACAGGCCATCCCATTATCGGCAACTAGGGAACGCGGCAACCATTTGAACCGGGCTATCGTTCGTGCCATCTGCGCCACTAGTGTCAGGTGCGGACGCGATTTCACTGAGCGTTCAGGGGACATAGCTGAGGGCGAGGGCAACACTATATTGGTATGTATGCCTGTATACATACCAATATATACCATATGTATACCTGAGGATGAGGACTGAGCACTACAGTAACAGAAGCCTACCTGAGGATGACAGCAGCACTGAGCACCAGCAGCATTTCGGGCCGTCCTCTCCTCTCCTCTCCTCTCCTCTCCTCTCCTCTCCTCTCCTCTCCTCTCCTCTCTCCTCTCTCTCTCGCCGCCCTCTGAGCGCGCTCGTCTCGGACCGACTGCCGCACGCCGCTCGTCTCGGACCGACTGCCGCACGCCGCGTCTCGGACCGTCCGACGCACGCCGTGGCCCGGCCGTTGCCCCGCTAGGGACCACGCACAAAAACGGCGGCCCGGCTCCGTGCCGGCCCTGTGGCAGTCCGGCACTGCCCAGTGTCCCGGCCCTGTGGCGGGTCTGTGGCGGCCCTGTGGCGGGTCTGTGGCGGCCCTGTGGGGGTCCGGCCCTGTGGCGGCCCTGTGGCGGGTCTGTGGCGGCCCTGTGGGGGTCCTGTGGGGGTCCGGCCCTGTGGCAGCTCTGTGGGGTCCGGCCCTGTGGCGGCCCTGTGGGGGTCCGGCTCTGTGGCGGTCCTGTGGGGGTCCGCCCCTGTGGCGGCCCTGTGGCGGTCCGGCGGCACTGTGGCGGGGTCCGAGGCCGGGCATCTCGTGGTCTTCCCTGCAGATAGTGGCGGCTTTGATGTAGGCTTCGGAAGCCAATTGTCAATAGCGTTGTCTGAAAGGGTGCACGTCAGAATAGCTAGTGAAATTTGAGCTAGTGACTTTTGAGCTAGTACAAAACAGCTAGTGCCTCAAAACAGAGCTAGTGATAAAATCGCTAGCGTCGAAATAGCTAGGGAAGCAAAATAGCTAGTGGCAGAATAGCTTGAGTCAATTGAAAAAACATCCCTCTACTGAGAGTGAGACGTTAGTGAAGACATCGCGCAGGGTCCTATTGACCGATATTTCAGTCAATTACAAACGTACAGCCCACCGCTAAAGTAATGTAGGGTTTTACCAATCTCAACGGTTGGCTTTGACTGGCGATTGTTTAATGCGGAGTGATCGAAAAGAAGATGTCAATAGCTAAAGTTGCAGCTGCAAGGGTGACGATACATATAAGCTACATTCAAAGTTTCATTGTAGTCTGGCTAATCGTTCCTAAGCTTCAGAAGCAGAACATACACATGACTGAAACCCCACATTACTTCTGCTGTGGACTGTACATACGTGGTTGTAGATGACTTCAGAATTTCGAAGATTTTCGGTATGTTGTCAAAGTTTTTTTTTCGGCCAAAACTATGATTCGGTAGTTAGGTCGTTTGTCATCTGCTTCGTTTTTGGCGTTGCCGTATAACAAAAAGCGTACTTACATCTGCTTCTCCTTGCCTCGCAATTATTTTTTCCTGGGATTTGTATTCCTGCACTTGTAGACGGTTCTGGTGCGTAGCCTTCGAGCCAGGGGCGCCGCCACGGATTTTTGACTGGGGGGGACGGACTGACCGACTGAAAACCCAAAAGTAGACATTCTTACCGTGGCTTTTTCGGTCGGATGCATTCAACGTTTAAAGCAAATATGCCACTTTTAACATAGGGTTTTGAACTGAAGTAACAGTTTTGTAGCTTGAGCTGAGACGAGAACAAATCAGGAGCTTTTATGGCCCAACGACCACCCTAGCCAAATATATCGGTATCGATTTTAGGTTTGAAGAAGTCATTCCCATAGATTACACTTTGCCATTCTCTTACCTACCGAGGAATCCATTCCCTTACGGAAAAAATGCTAGCCAATCAGCATTCAGCTGGTTTGAACTACGTACTATGCTTGGTCAACGCGTCATCGGCTTCCGCTGCAATATAGGTAAGTAACCTCTACGAAAGATGGAAAATAGTGATGTAAAAATAAATATGAAATCCTTTTGCAAATATTCATTATTTCCTGACCATTTTAAAAAACTCATAAAACTGTGGCAAAACAACTGGTTTGAGGAAAGTAGTTTAGGTACATCCTAGGTGTCGATTTCTACCGAGTTGTGGGTGCCCGGGCGCAGCAAATCCGCCGCTGCCCTAGCGGTGACCTTGACCCGCGCGGTTTGTTGAGGCTCCAAAGCCAAGCCGGCCGAGCCGGCGGGGAATTTGGAGAGCTCGGGCACCCCCGACTTGGCGGAAATGGACACCCATGTTTAGGCATTTCCTAATGGCTATAGACCGCATTCCCACCGAGTAGGTACCTACCTATATACACATCTGATGTCCGATTCAGTTTGACACGGCAAAGCCTCGTGTCCTATCACGGTATAATTGCTGATGTATGCCAATAATATGATCGATAATGCGTATTGCATAGGTAATGCAAATTGCATACCCGCGTGGGGGAGGGGGCGTTGTATAGTCATAAATCTCTCTTTTTGGTTTATGCACGAATCGGCGCGAAGCGCCGCGAAAATTGGCAAAAAAAAACATTAGGCAAAACTGCTTTTTTTTTGCAACCCGTGTTACAAGCTTGATACCAGAAAACCTTAGGTCAGGAAAACGAAGTCAAGTAGTCAAGTCCCCTCAAAGTTTTGTGGTCCTGTCAACCGTATAGCTTATTTCTTAGAAGCTGGAAATTTAGTGTAGCGTGACTGCAGAAGTGTGGGGTCGGAGCCGGAATCAGTCGGAGTTGACTGTTTTGGCCAGTTTTGGCCAGAGTCGGAGTTGAAGTCTTCGAAAATGTTCGGATTTTGACTTCGAGGTCGGATTGGTGTAAAGTCATGCTCTTGGCTGGTTAGACGAACTATATTAGGCCCGTGTTCGGCCAGTCGTGTTATACGACACACGTTGATCACGATATCAAAAATCGGCAGTTCCGCAATGACAGGTCGGATAAGAGCTGGAGATTTTGTTGGCCGAGGTGGCAGGGGTCAGACCAATGCACAGGGGCGCCGCCACGGATTTTTGACTGGGGGGGACGGACTGACCGACTGAAAACCCAAAAGTAGACATTCTTACCGTGGCTTTTTCGGTCGGATGCATTCAACGTTTAAAGCAAATATGCCACTTTTAACATAGGGTTTTGAACTGAAGTAACAGTTTTGTAGCTTGAGCTGAGACGAGAACAAATCAGGAGCTTTTATGGCCCAACGACCACCCTAGCCAAATATATCGGTATCGATTTTAGGTTTGAAGACTGAAGTCATTCCCATAGATTACACTTTGCCATTCTCTTACCTACCGAGGAATCCATTCCCTTACGGAAAAAATGCTAGCCAATCAGCATTCAGCTGGTTTGAACTACGTACTATGCTTGGTCAACGCGTCATCAGCTTCCGCTGCAATATAGGTAAGTAACCTCTACGAAAGATGGAAAATAGTGATGTAAAAATAAATATGAAATCCTTTTGCAAATATTCATTATTTCCTGACCATTTTAAAAAACTCATAAAACTGTGGCAAAACAACTGGTTTGAGGAAAGTAGTTTAGGTACATCCTAGGTGTCGATTTCTACCGAGTTGTGGGTGCCCGGGCGCAGCAAATCCGCCGCTGCCCTAGCGGTGACCTTGACCCGCGCGGTTTGTTGAGGCTCCAAAGCCAAGCCGGCCGAGCCGGCGGGGAATTTGGAGAGCTCGGGCACCCCCGACTTGGCGGAAATGGACACCCATGTTTAGGCATTTCCTAATGGCTATAGACCGCATTCCCACCGAGTAGGTACCTACCTATATACACATCTGATGTCCGATTCAGTTTGACACGGCAAAGCCTCGTGTCCTATCACGGTATAATTGCTGATGTATGCCAATAATATGATCGATAATGCGTATTGCATAGGTAATGCAAATTGCATACCCGCGTGGGGGAGGGGGCGTTGTATAGTCATAAATCTCTCTTTTTGGTTTATGCACGAATCGGCGCGAAGCGCCGCGAAAATTGGCAAAAAAAAAACATTAGGCAAAACTGCTTTTTTTTTTGCAACCCGTGTTACAAGCTTGATACCAGAAAACCTTAGGTCAGGAAAACGAAGTCAAGTAGTCAAGTCCCCTCAAAGTTTTGTGGTCCTGTCAACCGTATAGCTTATTTCTTAGAAGCTGGAAATTTAGTGTAGCGTGACTGCAGAAGTGTGGGGTCGGAGCCGGAATCAGTCGGAGTTGACTGTTTTGGCCAGTTTTGGCCAGAGTCGGAGTTGAAGTCTTCGAAAATGTTCGGATTTTGACTTCGAGGTCGGATTGGTGTAAAGTCATGCTCTTGGCTGGTTAGACGAACTATATTAGGCCCGTGTTCGGCCAGTCGTGTTATACGACACACGTTGATCACGATATCAAAAATCGGCAGTTCCGCAATAACAGGTCGGATAAGAGCTGGAGATTTTGTTGGCCGAGGTGGCAGGGGTCAGACCAATGCATGTAAGCCCACACCCCATATACTGAGTATCTAAACCTCCTGGACTCTCTCAGATTCGGCACCGGCAGTTCCATCTCTTCCATCCTCAGGACAGTCAAATCCTTCTCCTCCACGCCGCAACCCCCTGCTCCGGGCTGGACGGGCAACTCTATCCCATGCGGGAAGGGCTCCACTGGAGCTATAGTCCTTTGCCGGGTGCAATGAGTGCCAGTGGGCTGGGCTGCCTGTTCAGTTGGTCGGGCTCATCCCAAGTGGCTCACTGGGGTGGCTGCCCCGACCAATGTCTCCCACTAATTCTTTCATACTTGCGGCTCTGAAATGGTCTCATTGGACCGAAGGGCCTAATCAAATTTCGAGTAGGATAACAACAAGTAAAACGCCTTTTGGGGCGACCAACGGAGCGAGCGAGAGGGTGGGGTGGGCCTTGCACGTGCGAATTGCGAGGGGATACCTCCAAACTTGTGCACTGCACCCTTCTAACCGGTCCCTAACGATGTGCCAAATTTGAGCGCAATCGGCCCAGCCGTTCTCGAGATCTGTAAGCGGCACCCTGCACGTGCGCACGTGCAAAATGGGTCCCAACTGACTTTTGCACGGCACCCTACTAACCGGTCCCTAACCATGTATCAGATTTCAGCACAATCGGTTCAGCCGTTCTCGAGATCTGGAATTGACCCCTGCATGTGCGCACGTGCAGCAGCACCCCAACTGTGGCACATGGATATGCATTGCCTAGTGGGTAAATGCCAACTTTCAGCGCAATCGGCCCAGTAGCTGCCGAGATATTGAAATTGTTACAAAACTGACACCTCTTCGTTTTTCACGTGGCACGTGCATATGTATGGGGTCACTCACATGCATCGGGAATAGTCCGATGCTCGTTAGAAGGAAT